TGTTACTAGAAAAATTTAATGTTATTTAATTTGGGGGAAATTAAAATAATATATTTTAAAGTAAATTAATCAAGGAATTTTGAATAACCAGCATTCAATTGTCATTTATGTTAAATAACTGACTATAACCCTTTCATCAGATTTCTCTAAAGTTGTAAAATGAAATTTTCATAGATAAACATATATGGATATATCTTGTATGCTTCAAAATTTATAGGAAATATAAAGAAATTAAATTCATACAGAAGACTCATTTTGTCCTTGATGCCAATGTAGAACATTATAATGTGGTAACAGTTATTTGCAGGTGGTGTCTGTTTCACATACCACTATATCCAGTGATATTGGACATACTACTCTTAAGTATCTTTTTATAATTTGTAATATTTTAGTAATAAGGGAACATTGTAACATGCATCTGTGTGTTGGTATACAGGTTGTAAACATGAAATTATGAATATGCACCTTCTCAAAGCACATTTAGAATATCAGACTGAAATTATTTTATTTTCACATTGCTCCAGGATTTTAAAATAACACTACTTTTTACTGTACTTAACATGGATAATTTTAATTTTTAAAATTATTCTCTATAATATTTACCAATAAGTAATCCCTTAATTTTCAAGGAGAATGATTGCAATTTAGTATGGGGAAAGTGTAAGCTTCTTTTCTGCATATCTGAGTCACACTAGAATGCACTAAGTTCTGTTTAATAGTTTTGATATTTGGAATGTAGTGACTATTCTTTATAACTCTTCAAGTATCTTTCTTTGTCTTTTTAACTAGGTCACACATTTTAACTTATCAAAGTATTCACAAAATATTTGTCCTACCAGTCATACAATGTGATTTTAGTCCAGATTCGGTAAGAAAATTGGGAAGTCAAAAAATTTCAAACACAAATATAGATAAATGGATCTAATGCAATTTTTATCATGACTGTGACTTTTAAAATTTGTGAATATTGTCTGAGCACCAAACTAAGTTTTTCATACCTTTATGTGATTATGGCCTCAAAAGCTCCATTATACTATACTTTTTTGTGAGAATGATAAAAGAAAAAGAAAGATGAGAAAGACTGAAATTTCCAAATTGTAACGTGGTCACGTAAACAACAAATGTGATTAATTATATTCAAGTAATTCAAATTAGATATAGTACAATTCACAATTGGTGTGAAAAATTGTAAATAGATACTTTAGTGAGAGAAACAAATACATTTCTTTTATTCTATGCTCCACTTCAGTTTTTAAATGTACATCTCATCTTTATGAAAAAGATTAACTAATTTTTCTTTTTTAGAATCATTTTATTAAAGAATGACTTAAAGAAGCTGTAAATATTTAGTATACACATCTTCACAAGTTTGAGATAAGAATATGCCCATAAATTTATAACAAATGTGTGACATAAACAACATTTTCAGGCAATATTATACATTATATACTTGTATGGAAGCTCTGCAGGGATTACTTACACTGAATAACTGGAACATTGGTTCCTTTGACAAACATATTTTTCCACCTTGTCTGAGCAATTCCAGTGTAGCCTTTGCTTCTGTAACACTTTGTCATTCTGTATGATCTTCAGGATAACCATTTTTAAAGCTTTTATAAATCATTCAAAATTAATTTTAGTGTCTTAATAAAGTGTTTCTTTGTTATCTAGGGATAAGTTATATTTCATGTTGGGACTATACCACAATTTACTTATCATTTCATGCTTTGATTAATTTTGGGGTTCTTATATATATAGGATATTGTAAATAATCTTTCAACTAACATAAGACCACACATAATTTTGAACTCTTGGTTCTAGGCTTTGGAGGTAAACTAAGAAATGTGATTGCTGGATTACAGGAAGTTTCATTTTGCATTTTAATAAGTGACTTTCAGTATGATTTCCAAAACAGTTATACCAATGTGCATCCCCACCTGCAATGTAAGGGGTTTCTAATTTTTCCATTGTTTTCAATACTAGTTATCTTTTGTTTATTTGATTACAGCCATTCTAAAAATTGTGGGGTGATATCTCACTGACATTTGATTTTGATTTTCTTTTTTATTATTGGCTTTGTGAGCCTACTCTTGCCATCAACAGCCCAACCCTGCTGGACTTTTTTGTGAGTTTACTGTCATTCATGAATCTTACATGCTCCCATGTAAAGACATTCTAGTATCAGCAACTAATTTTAATTTATGCTCATTCTTAGGCTTTTGGATTTTTTGGCTTGTAAAAATGAAGCACATTAAATCAGACTCTGTCAAGTAAAACAAAGGCAGTTTTGGTAGTTGATCACCTATTTTTTGTCACTTTATTAACTGTTCTCTGTTTCGTGATAGCTGTGTTCCTTTATCTTGTTTCTGATTTGATGATTTTTCAAGGTGACACACTTGTAACATTTTATCTTCACCAATTTTATACTTACTATAGTATCTTTTGTGATTGCCTTGAGGAATGCCTAAAAATTCTTATACAGTATTTTCTTAAGCTTACAGGAAGTTAATTTCTGCATGTAAAATTTTTGCACTTCAACTCCTCTACACTCAATGCTATGGATTTCAGAATTTATTTTTTCTTTATTGTGCATCCATCCAATATTTTATTGGTGATAGTTGTCCTTAATAGTTTTGCCTCATAATTCTTATACAAGGGTTAAAATTGTCTTACACACTACTATTTCAAAATTAGATTATTTCATATTTCTATATACACTTACTTTGCCTGTAATATGTAAAATTTCATGTTTTTCTTTGGTATATAGTTTCCTTTCACTCTAACTTTAATATTCTCTATAGTACTTCTTGGAAATGATATCTTGTGAACAAACTCATATGGTGACTGATTATAGAGGCTTATAGCTTAGTGAGAGATGCTTATTTTTCTTTAATAAATTTTCTCAGCAGTCATTATTTTTTCATATTTTTATGTTTTTCCCTCTTCTATCAAGTACTTTAAAAGTAGTTCTTGGTTTTCTGTCAATAAACCTTAGATTTCAATAAGTTTTATCTTACTTGAGTCAATATTAAATAAGATTTGGAGGACTATAGAAAATAGATAATACCTTACTTTAACTGTTCAAATAATAGCACTGTTTTTATTTATTTCAGCTTTACTTGCACTTTATTTAGTTAAGGTTATTGAATAAGATCTAATACTTCTTGGATTCTTAGAGATGGCACTGTGATGAATTACCATAGGGAAACATGTCTGTGCTCTGTTTATTACGTTGAAATGAGCATTGTTCACTATATCTGTGAGATCTGACTTGGCCCCTACTGGGCACCAGTGGCTCATGCTTGTAATCCTACCTACCTGAGAAGCAGAGATCAGGAGGATTGCAGCTCATGTTCAGCCTGGGCAAATAGTTCACAACACCTTATTTTGAAAATACCCAACCCAGAACAGGACTAGAGGAATGACTCAAATCATGGAGTGCCTGCCTAGTAAGTGTGAGGCCCTGAGTTCAAACCCCAGTAATATCAAAATATTTTTTACATGCCACCCAAAATACAAGAAAATAATTAACATATGTTTCAACTTTCAATGAGATGATACAATGTGTTGGCATTAAAAGCGATTATGAGATCCTGTAATTCAATATAATATGAGGCTTTAACCCAAAAATATAAAGCTAGTAGAATAAAGTTTCAATTATAGAAGAAGTGTCCAGAGAAAAAAATTCAATCAGTACTACTATAAGATCCAATGGAAAAAAAATCAATATTCTCATACAATGAACTGAATTCAAAAGACAAATGAATATATTCAGAGATTAAAGACCAAAAATATTCCAGGTGATTAATTACAATTATATATCAATCAGCAAAGGTGTAGTCTAAATTTTTAAATGCTGTATCACAATACACTTAAAGTATGCACATGATCACTTAGAACTGTGTTCTACCAGGATTTGCGCTAGCTGGGCAAGTGTCTCTCAAACTAGTTGCAGTAAAACCAATTTCATTTCTCTAAAATGTTGTGGATTTAGTCTTTTCAAATGTTAACCGAATAGACACTTAAAGAAAAATTGTATTTTAAAATGACACAAAATACATAAGTAATGTCATACAAAGCAAACTGTCCGAAAGTGTGTGGAAAAACCAAAACACAATTTTGATTTTGATTTCGAGAAAAGCAATGAGAAGAAACACATGAACACTTGCAGATACACAGGTCACAGATAGAAGAATGAGGAGCAGCACCCCAACTCGGCAGTAACATCCAGCCAAAATTAAAGTGGAACTCAAAAAATTTAACACTGTCATGTATAGTGTGAGGTATGGTTTTATGTGCCAACTTGGCTTGATTGTTGTAACCAGTTATTTAAACACTAATCAATGCATTGATATGAAGATGTCTTTGTAGATGTAGTTCATGTATCAAAACCTGTGACCTTAAGTAATAGAGAATACCTTCTATAAAGTGAGTGAGCTACATCCAACATGCTTAAAGAGCTTAAGAGCAAAAGTGAAGTTGATCTGAGAAAAAGAAATTGTGCCTCAAGCCTACATGTTGAACTAGTACAGAGTTTCCAGGACATTGCTCTCATTTATAGGGCTCAGACTTACCAGACTCTCTTTCTCTCTCTCTTTTCTTTGTCTTTCTCTTTCTGTATATGTTGATGCATATATACACATACATGCATGTTTATAGCATTGGTTTGTTTAATTAATACAAAAGCTCATTATATGTTATGTATTGAAAGATATGTATAAACACAATTATATACATTTTATATGTTGTATTAGTTAACCTTCTCTGGATAATAGGAAAATTATTCATATTTATAGTACATAAGTATGTCTATAATACAGTTAAGGAAAATATTCATTGTCATTTGCTCAATTATTTTTTTTTTTTTTTTAGATAGGAAACCAAGTTTATTGTGTGGAGCACATGTTCCTAGAATGCCAAATTCTAGGACCATTATCAGAAGAACTAATTCCAAATAACAATTATTTGATGGTCATTCTCTTCTACTGTTTTGTTTCCAGATGAACCAGGACTTTCTGAAAAAGGCCAATGCCAACATAGTGACTGTGGTCCTTCTGGAGAGTTTTGCTGAGGTGTGGGAACTTAGGCTCCTTCTCTCCATGTTGTTTCTATTGATGTACCTGGGCACCCTATTAGGGAATCTTATCATCATCACAATCACCACTGTTCACCAGAGCCTGAACACACCCATGTTCTTCTTCATCAGGAATCTGTCCATCTTGGACATGTGTTACATTTCTGTCACTGTCCCCAATGCCTGTATCAACTCTATTAGTGGCAACAGAGAAACTTCTGTGGCTGGCTGTGCAACTCAGATTTTCTTGGTCCCTTATTTTATATACGTGGAGATTCTATTCCTCACCATAATGGCTCAGGATCATTATGTCGCAATCTGCCAGCCCCTCCACTGTCCTATTATCATGAACCACAAGTTCTGCGTCCAAGTGACACTGGCATCCACACTTAGTGGCTTCGTTTATGCAGCCGTGCATGCTGGCAACATGTTCCGGCTGTCCTTCTGTCAGTCCAGTGTTGTCAATCAGTTCTTCTGTGATATCCCTTCTTTGCTGAGATTTTCCTGTTCAGACACTTTTAGCAACAAACTCTTAAATCTTCTTTCTGCCATGGACATAGCTGGTGTCTGCTTTACCTTCATTGCTACTTCATATTTTCACATATTTTCAACTGTGTTAAAGTACCCAGTCAAAGATGAGGGAGGAAAGGCCTTTTCCACCTGTGTACCTCACATTCTTGTGGTGTTTGTGTTTCTTAGTTCTAGTGCCTATGTATACCTAAGCCACTCAGAACTCTCTGAAATTACTGAGGACATGATTCTTTCTATATGTTATACCATTGTTCCACCATTTCTGAATCCTATCATCTGTAGCCTTAGAAATAAACAGATAAAAGAGGCTGTTAGAAAGGTAATATTAAGAATGTTTTATTCAGGAAAATTATGAGAAGTAATTAGGATTTTTTCAAAGACGTCACTGTGGGATATTTAGATCTTACCCTTTGGATTAAATAACTGCCAAGTTATTTTCCATTTTGTCTCTTTTTTATGTGCTATAATCTATTGTTACCCATCTGCTTCCTCCATACTGTCCAAATAACTGTATGCTAAGCACTCCCTTGCCCCATTTTTCTTTCTCTCCCCCAACTATTTTTCTTTTTTTGCTTGTTTTATTATTCATATGTGCACAGAAGGCTTGGGTCACCTCTCCCCCTTTCCCCCAACCCCCCTTACCACCCACTCCACCCCCTCCCTCTTCCCCCCACCCCCTCAACACCCAGCAGAAACCATTTTGCCCTTCTGTATTGTTGATTGACTAATTGGGTTTTAATCAACAGTTATCTTTTCCTTGACTTAATTAGCATGTTGTGACTGGCTTAACTAGGTGTTGTTTTATTTATATTCCCTGACCTAGAATTATAATTTAGCAATAAAATATTCATGGATTTGATGCCAGACCATTTATTTTCCCAAGTTATATTTTTCTGCCATTTTATTCCATTTCTCCTCCTTTCTCAACCTCCCCCTCTTTTCTTCCCCTTACCTTTCACTCCACTACTCTTACCTCGTCAAACCCACCAATCTCTGAATAGTCTTCCATACCAAATATACACATTAACCCCATATGTCATATCCCTCTACAATCACTGACAAATCATCCTCCATTAAAACAACTGAACTACACCTTAACCCATTAGGACCCTATTATAATATAGCTTCCACACTTCACACCCCTCCACCCAATGTCACCCCGTTTTCTGACCCTCCTCTAGTGCCATCCTTTTAATTATATAGTATCTATCTCTATGCAAACAAGTATTATCTCCCCAGTATCCACTGTTTTTAGGTAATATCACCAAGGGGTGCAATATAACTTGGGAAAATAAATGGTCTGGCATTGAATCTATGAATATTTTATTGCTAAATTATAACTCTAGGTCAGGGAATATAAATAAAACAACACCTAGTTAAGCCAGTCACAACATGCTAATTAAGTCAAGGAAAAGATAACTGTTGATTAAAACCCAATTAGCCAATCAACAATACAGAAGCAAGGCAAAAAATAGAAACATGCAGAGAAGAAGGCAATGGAATACAACCCCTCAAAAGACTAACAATAATGAAATAGAGGATACAGTTGAAAATGAAGTAAATGAGTACCTTGTTGAGGACCCCACTAGAATGTTGATAAGTATGTCCAATGAGCATAATTAGAACCTTGAAGACATTCTCAAAAGGGAACTCAAGCAACATTTCACAGAGGGACTTACAGAATAGCTTAATGAGAAACATAAAAAGAACATACAAAAACAACACAAACAACATCAATAGAACACAGAAAAAAATTGAGAAAACACACAAACAAATGAACTCAGAGAGGACTTCAACAAACTCCAAATTAAAACCTAGGATATTATTTTTAAAAAGAAATATATTAAACAAATAACACAGCACAAATATGAAAGAGTTGTTTAACAAAGATATGGAAAATCTCAGAAAAAATTAAACTGAGATCCTGGAAATAAAAAGTTCCCTAAATGAAATAAAAAATACAATTGAAAGCCACTCCAGCAGATTAGAACAAGTGGAAGACAGAATTTCAGGACTCAAGGACAAACTAGATGTGACAGAAAAAAATAGAAGATTTCTTATAAAAAAGACACAAGATCTATGAAAGGAAAATGTAAGAACTCTGCAATTCCACCACAAGACCAAACATGTGAATCATGGGTATTGAAGAAGAGGGGCAAGCCAAAAGTATACATAATCTATTCAACAAAATAATAGTAGAAAATTTCAATAGCAGAAAATGAGGAAAATGTACCCATTCAGGTACAGCAAGCCTCTAGGACACCAAACAGACATGACCAAATTAGAACCTTCAAACCACAACTACAGAAGATTCTGAAAGGAATCCCACAAACAAGACAAAAACAAATATAACCATCCAAGGTTTGGAAATATTCAACCTCAAGAGAAGAACAGATAAGTATTCAGAGTAGCGTAGATTTAGCTGTACACATAAGTACTTAAACAACAAAAATGGCAGGAATCAATACATACCTCTTTAGTACTGCATGTTAATGACTCAACTAACATATCAAAAGCCACTATTTGGCAAACTGGATAAAAATGGAAGACCTGATAGTCTTTTGTGTATAAGAAACCCACCTTATCTACAAAAACTAACACGGTCTTAGGGTCAAAGAGTAGAAGAAGGTTTTACCAAGCTAATAAGCCCTGAAAACAGGCCAAAGTGGCAATAATTATGTCAGATAAAGTGAACTTCAAACATGAAATAGAAGAGAAAAAGAAGGTCACTTTATACTAATAAAAGGAATACTACAGCAAGAGGAAATAACAATCTTTAAATTATATGTGCCCAATGTCAGTTCTTACACCTTCATTATTCATATATACTAATGGAATTAAAAACACAGATAAACCCCAATACAAGGGTACTGGGACACTTTAATACTTCTCTATCACCAATACATAGGTCATCCAGAAAAAAAAAATCAACAAAGAAATATTAAAATATTAGAATTATAATTAGAATAATATTAAATTAATATTAGAATTCTAATATTTGTAGACCTAAAACATATCTACAGAGTATTCCATCCTCCAGCAGCACAATTCACATTTTTCTCAGCAGCCCAACGACCTTAAATCAAAATTGACCTTGTTATAAGTCATAAAGCAAGTCTCAAAAAAATTAGAAAATTGAAATTACTCCCTGAATACTGTGACCACAATGCAGTCAATGTACAACACAATAACAAAAGGAGTAGCAAAAAATAGTCAAACAACTGGAAGCTGAACAATACCTTGTTTGATGATCAATGGATCATAGAAGAAATAAAGAAGGAAATCAAAAGTTTCTGGAATATAATGAAAATGGAAACACAACCTGTCAGAACCTATGGGATATAACAAAGACAGTCCTAAAAGTAAAGTTTATAGCCATGATTGTATATATTAAAATCACAGAAAGATTTCAAATAAATGACCTAATGCTGCATTTCAGACTCCTAGAAAAACAAGAATAAGGTAAACCTAAAACAAGCAGAAGGAGAGAAATAATAAAAATAATGTTCAAAGTCAACAAAATAGAGAAAAAATATTTTTTAAAAAGTCAACAAGAGAAAAAGCTGTTTTTTGGAAAAATAAACAAGTCTGACAAACACCTGGCAAATCTGACTAATATGAGAAGGGAAAATAAATTAATAAAATTAGAAATAAAATGGTGGAGATAATAAAAATAACCAGGAAATACAAGGAATCATCAGGACTATTACTATGAAATCCCATACTCAAATAAATTGGAAAACTAAGAAGTGGACAAATTTGTATATGCATATGAGTATCCAAGTTGAAACAAGGGGATACTAATCACCTAAACAGATTTATAGCACACAATGAAACTGAAATAGCAATAAAGATTTTCCCAAAAAAGTAAAGTCCATGCTGTGACAGATTCTCTGATGAAATCTACCAGACCTTTAAAGAAGAAATGATACAAATACTCCTTAAACTTTTCCATGAAATAGAAAGCGAAGGAGTACTACCATACTAATTATATAGGACAAGGATACAACAAAAGCAGAAAATTACAGGCTAATAATCTCTTTAATGAAAATAGATGCAAAAATACTGAATAAAATATTGGCAAACTGAATTCAACAACATATCAAAATGATCATACAACCAGATAAAGTTGGTTTCATTCCAGGGAAGTGGGGGTGGTTCAACATGTACAAATCATTAAATGTTTTATAGCATATTATTAGAAGTAAAACAAACACTGAATGATCATCTCAATAGATACAGAATAAGCCTTCAGTAAAATGTAACATCATTCATGAAAAATGCTCTGATGAAACTAGGAATATAATGAATGTACGTCAACATAATAAAAGAAACCATTTCCTCTAAAGTCAGAAATGAGACATGGTTGTTCACTTTCTCCACTCTTATTCAACATAGTCTTGAAATTCCTAGCCAGAGCAACAAGATAGAAAGAAGAAATGAAAGGAATAAATAAGGAAGAATTCAAATTATCACTATTTGAAGACAATATGAACGTATACCTAAAAGACCTGAAAAGCTCCATCAAAGAACTCCTAGACACCACAAACAGCTTCAGCTGTTTAGGGTACAGGGTACAAAATCAATTTATAAAACCCAGTAACTTTCTGTGCACCAAGAAATAACAGATTGAGAAAGAATATGAGAAGGAAATCCATTTATAATACCCACCAAAATAAAATTCTTAGTAATAAACTTAACAAAGGTTGTGAAAGGCCCCTACAAGCAAAACTCCAAACCACTGAAGAAAGATATAGAAGAATACCAAAGATGGAAAGGTGTTTCATGCTCATGAATTGGGAGAATCAAAATAGTGATAGTTGCTATACAATCATATGATTGCTAAGCAATCATATGTTCAACACAATTCCCATCAAAATTCCTCTAATGCATATACTCAAAGGACTGTGAGTCAGATTACAACCAAAGCATCTGAACACACATGTTTATTGCAGCATTATTCACAATAGCTAAGCTATGCAAACAACCAAGATTCCCCACTACTGATAAATGGATTAAGAAATATGGTATTTATATACATTGAAATTTTACTCCACCTTAAAGAAGACCGAAATTTTGTTATTTGCAGGTAAAAGGATGGAACTGGAGAGCAACATCTTAAGTGATGTTAGCTGGGCTTAGAATGCCAAAAGCTGCATGTTTTCTCTTATATGTGGAATATGGACCTAATACAAATACAATATCATGAAAAACTAGTCACACTAAGGAGATTCACACATGAGTGTGGAAGGGTAAAAGAAGAAACCTAACAAGGTGAATATGGTTGATTTACTCTTTTTTTTCCTTTTATTATTCATATGTGCATACAAGGCTTGGGTCATTTCTCCCCCCTGC